ATCACAAATTCAGACATGGTTTTATGTTTACGCGGCACGATGCAACGCAGTGCGTAAAAAGACAGTATAAGTCATTATAATCCATAATTATGTCCCCACTGGATGCAACGAATGCCTCGTTTATAATGGGTTTTCATTTTTGAATCATTGCTCCGGCCTGACAGGGCATCATAACAGTATGGTAAGGGGCGTAACATTTCCGTCACACGTTTGAGGTATTCGGCCAATCATAACGCACTGGACAGCTGGCCAATCAGAGCACACCTCGCTTTTCAGACCGATGAGCTTTGTAAAAATCGACGCGTTTCAGAAAGGCGGGGCATAGAGGAGAAACAATAATGTACAGTATGTGGAAAATAATGTGTTTTTTGAACCTTAAACCGCATAAACACATTTCATTACACCAAATACACAAAATAATGTTCTTTTTAGCAACATCATATGACCCCTTTAATAAATCAAGCACGTCCCATTTTGCGACTGTCACGTTACATGATTTTACGGATTTGCAAGAGAAGTTTGGGATTTTATGGAGGAGCGAAACCGCACAAAGGGGTGGAATGGGTAACAATAATAATTTTATCTCAATTATTACATTTTCATAATCGTTGGAAGCCGAAAGCAAAATCGAAACTTAATTTTGATTAATTGAACAGCCCTAATGCTGGGCCAACTAAAACTTTTTTAAGAATTACTATATTGCTGGCTTAAAATGGACTGGAAATTAGAAATCACACACAGAATTACTAATAGCAATAATTAAAAGGTGAACATTTTTTATAAAGCAAGAAAATTCTTACTTTTAGACTACCTTTTTCATCATTTAGCGCTCAATTTAAGTTCTTTAATATAAATATAAGTAATATATGAGTTTTAACTGGTCTCAAAATTAATATGTGCACATTATAATGTTGTGATGCCTAAAACATAATTTTATTTGTGTATTATTCTTGTTTTTTAGACAATATAGTAGGCCTATAAAATGTTAATATTGACAATATCAGCTTATCAATATTGCCCAGAATTTTATCATCTGTACATGATTACATGGAAACCAACCCCTGTTCAATACTTGATCTTGGTGGCCATGAACTTGAAAGCTACAAATATGATCATTTATTTTGAAAGCTTGTAACTTGTTTAAACTGTTGTTTTTCTTAAACCACTTTCAGAACAGAATATTGAATGCTGACATATACATCACTAAAAGTGGTCACCATTTATACTATCTATATAAAAATTTATATTGACGCTTATTTTTATGTCAAGTATCTGTCACAGAAGTGGATTGTTCTGAGAAAAGGATACTGTGTTCTTACTGATTGGGCCCTCAGATTGTGGGTCTAGTTTAGCTTCTAGTTTAATTTCCTCCAACAGTGTTATGTCAGCAGGGCACTGCTGTGCCACAAAATGAACAGATGTCCTCCCCTGGATTTCTCACAGATTGGATTACTATGCCTAGGCAGCCCAGGCTCTTTAGAGACTGCATTGTTGCAAGACTGAAAACAATCCCTTTGATTTTAGCCAAGGTTCCATATGGTTAAAGCAAGAAGAAAACAATGTGTTACACATTTTGTGGCTAAATAATTCTAAATAGGTGAATAAGTTTCTGCCTTAAGCATCTAAGCCCCTGAAGCTCATGCTTGGCCTTATCAGGTTACAGAGGGTGCCGTTTGGGATTGATTGAGTGGTTTGATTTGAATCGTTTTGACTTGTGCTCTGTCTACACAACCTACTTTTGTTTGGCATGACGCAGACAAGCTGACATCTGTGTAGAGGAATATTAGAGTTCAAAACTGCTTAAGCTCAGTCAGCAGCATCTGTGCTGTCAATCGCTGCTGAAAATGATTTCAACTCGTTGAAATGAAAGTCTAATATCCAGCACTGCAAAGTTATGGCTTAGATTAAATGAACTTTTCTTGAAATGGAAGATTAGTTCTCACATGTGGCTAGGGATGCACAATATATTCCAAATATATATCCGCTTTTATTTTTTTTATTATTATTTTTAGGGCATTTCTTTTACATTTAGGAAGTACATTGTGCTCTTATGTTTTTGCTGAGATTCAGAGGTACTTTAAAAGTGTTTTCTGTTCTTTTCACAGTGGAATGTACTTGTTGTTATTCCACTTCAATTGAAATAGTTACAGCAGTTCTTTAATCCATGCTTGGAGTGTAAACATAGTTATTTGACTCTTCAAGATTAGTAGACCGAGCAGCAGTCAAACAATAACATTCCACTGCTTGATAAAATATATTTTTACCTCCGTGTTGAGCAGTTGTGTTAAATTCAAGCTGTACTGAGTTTCAGACCTCACAGTGCCATGGCTCTTTTATTTTAATTTATCTTTGATAGTGTTTGTAATGTTACAGTGCAGTTGCAATATGGTTGGAGGTTGTGTAGAATATTGTAAATCATGGACATTTAAGTTCTGAGGAAATCTTCAAAGCTTTCAGAGAATATCTGTGAGCACAGATTCCATGCAGGAAACTAATCAGTCATCAGTTTTGTGAGCAGTAGGGGCTGCGGTGGGAAGCTTTTCTGGTCTTTTGAGCATGGCTGCAGAATATTCCGCTAAATTCATCATAATTTGATAGTATAAGGGTTCGGTATATGCTCTGCTCATAAATGGTGCAGTTTACAGTCAGACCCTTATAAAAGAAGCATTAATAGTGGCTTTCAGGCCGTAGGCATAACTGACAGAGTTTCAAAGAGAAGCACTGTTTTGACGCAACTAAGGCTTTGTAGCAGCAATGAATGTACGTTCATAGTAGAACATTGTGTTGTATGTGTGCCGGTGTCGTGTTTCATTGGCAGTGTGAACACGGATCTCTTTCACATTTGTTTCAGTGGTGGTCTATGGTTTAATTCATCACTGAACTTTCATGGCAGTGTT